GTATATTTGTGCTCTTAGTGTAGCTCGTCATGGACAGAGCGTTGTCGGGCAATAGACCCTTTGGCAGTCGCAGGTGGTGGACAGTGAATATCTGCCAGCCTCACCCATATCACGCTCAGCCCCCCTCTCCCCCACCTTGCCCCCCTCGGGTTCCAGCATTCCCTGTGATGGTCCTGCTGCGTGTGACAAACATGTGATGAGTCTGTGTGACATGCCATGTGTGTATTTGTGATTTTGGGGTATGTGTGAGTGTGCAGGCTGGTGTGTATGCATTTGTGCGTGACACAAGTGCAGGCCTTTCCTGTACCAGATTGACATGAGTGTCTGTGAGGCTTTGCTCTTTTCAGACGTGCCTCACACTGGCAGTTGGAGTTTATATGTGTATGTGTGTGTGTGAGGGCCTGCCTGCCTTCTAGCGCCTCTCTGGAGACTGACGGCCCCTGACACCTGCCATTTGGACGCTTTTCTCTGTGAAAAATGTCATCGTCTTCAGACCCGACGTGTGTGTGTGTGTGTGTGTGTGTGTGTGTGTGTGTGTGTCTGAGTGAGAGAGGGATGGTGCGTCCCTCAATTTGTTTCCCTGAGGTCAAGCTTTGCAGCTGACTGAACAATGGACCCAAGCTGTTTGAGCAGCCGGGACAGAGAAACTTATGTGTGTGTGTGTGTGTGTGTGTGTGTTTGTATGAATAGAATTTGGGCTGGCTGCTTTTTAGGCAGTACAATGAGGCCCATCTAAGTATCTTGACCACAAACCCAGTGCAGGACAAAGAAAGTGACAGATTGAGCCATTATATTTTGAGACCATGTAGATGTGTGTGTATGCAATCCTTAAGTGTCCTGACTTGAAAGCCATCTAGAATGTTGTGCACATTAGGGTTAGCAATCGACCAGGTGAAACTGGTCGATTGCTTTAAATCAATTCCACAGGTAACACTACTCGTTGGTGACTCTTGATCACATTGGTTTCTATAACACCACAGATATATTTAATAAATCAACTTTGTTGGTAAGACAAGTCAAATCTTAGATGGTTATGTACACAGAATATAACTTTTAATTGAGATGTATATAGATAAAACTACATAGATTTTGTAAACCAAGATCTGCAAGCAATATGTTAGTTGCACCTCATTTTTGAATATCTGCAACTTCTAATCGGAACGATGTATTTTGAGACAGATGATCTAATGGTAAAAAATGAATTATACCAAATATTTAGATGAACAACGTGGGTTGATGTCAAACAAATCAAACTGGGATAATCCCACCTTCTACAAAGTCATTCACATTTTATGGCAATGCTTTCGAATTATATTACAAGAAAAAGGTTTTAGCCCAAAGAATCTTTTCGGGCCACTTATTCAAATATTGATTGTGTGTGTTTGCCTAAAATGCTCCAAATACAATTAATTTCCTCAAACCAAACATCCAAATTGCACTCTTTTTTGACCTACAGTGCTGTCACCCCTGTAGGTGGTGTCTCACCTCCTCCAACTTTTTGTCCTGTGTATCAAATGAGTTGATGATATTATTGCCCCTCTTCTTTTCTGACTGATCTGATGAGCTGTTTTTAATTTAGATTAAGACCATGTCAGCCAGAAGGCTGTAATGAGGTATCAAAGTGTGTATCCATCTCTTCCAATGTCAGGTTTTTTAAGGGACAGCGGGGGCCCAGTCATTGTGTGTGTGTGTGCGCGTGTGTGTGTGTGTGTGTGTGTGTGTGTGTGTGTGTGTGTGTGTGTGTGTGTGTGTGTGTGTGTGTGTGTGTGTGTGTGTGTGTGTGTGTGTGTGTGTGTGTGTGTGTGTGTGTGTGTGTGTGTGTCAGGCCCAAGGCTGTGTCTCAAAGAAGACCAGTAGGGGAACAGATAGGGGAGCCAGTTGGTGACTTTGCCCCAGGATGGGACAAGGCTAAAGGCAGGCCTGTGTGTGTATACAATTGAAAAGAAAAAGAGTGCTAATAAATGATAACCCTACAGGGCCACCAAGTCATCGCTTTACACCGAGAGGCGATCTTTGACTTTGTGTCTCAGAGTGTGTGGGTGTGTGTATGTGTGTGTGTGTCCACGCTTCGACCATCCATCCACTTAGGCCAGAGAGCTGTGGAGGAGACAACCTTCTGTTGGCTGCCAGGATGATGCCCTCACTGCAGCGACAGCCATGGACGCTACGGCGATGAGGGCTCAGAGCTGTATCCATGACAGTGTTGTTACCCAGCTGCCCCAGCGGCAGCCTTAATTAAGTTAGACATACTAAGCTGGTGGGCTCCCTTTCTTTCCCCTCCATATCCTCTTGTATTCTATTCTTCTGTGTTCATAATGATATATTTTTACTTAAAAAAAGACTCTCTTGGTCTCTCTTTGTCTTTCTGTCCGTCTTTCTCAAACAAAACTGCCTTTCTTTCACTTGACCTTTATTCTTCTATTATCTCTGAATTAGGACAGAGAGGGAGGTTAGAGGTGTGTGTTCTGAAAGCCTTTATCTTAATATTCTATATAAAGGGAGAGAGCTGCATAAGATTTGTGAAGAATGGATATATTTGAATAAGATTCTTCATTTTATTTTCTGCGTCTTACTCAGCATATTTTAACGTGTGTGCCTTGGTGTCCATGTGTATTTATCGATGTGCGTGAGGCAAGTGTGTGTCGGGTTAATGACCAGCTATGCTTTGACCTCCCCGAAGGTCATGTGCCAGTGCTCGTTAGCAGTGTCACCATGGCGATATGTCAGCTGTCAGCACGATGGATAAGGAGCTGACAAAAAGAACAGTGAGGCGGACGAAGGCATGAATAGAGAGCATGGAGGAGAGAGGGTAAAAGAGGGAGGGAGGACAAGTTGATTTAAATGTGAGTCCCATCAGAAGGCCTCTGCCACTCCTCATTAACAAGATACTACTAATTGGCAAGGTTGTTGTGGCAATGTCCAGGCCTCTGGGATTGTGTGTGTGTGTGTGTGTGTGTGTGTGTGTGTGTGTGTGTGTGTGTGTGTGTGTGTGGTGTGTGTGTGTGTGTGTGTGTGTGGTGTGTGTGTGTGTGTGTGTGTGTGTGTGTGTGTGTGTGTGTGTGTGTTGTGTGTGTGTGTGTGTGTGTGTGTGTGTGTGTGTGTGTGTGTGTGTGTGTGTAGTGTGTGTGTGTGTGTGTGTGTGTGTGTGTGTGTGTGTGTGTGGTGTGTGTGTGTGTGTGTGTGTGTGTGTGGTGTGTGTGTGTGTGTGTGTGTGTGTGTGTGTGTGTGTGTGTGTGTGTGTGTGTGTGTGTGTGTGTGTGTGTGTGTGTGTGTGTGTGTGTGTGTGTGTGTGTGTGTGTGTGTTTGTTTGTTTCTGAGTTGTGGACATTGGAGAGGTGCTGACCCCTTCGTCATATCGGTCAGCCCTGAGGAATAAAAAGCCCCCCCCCCTTACTTCCTCCAATCATCTCCCCCTCTCCATCCAGCCGAGAGAATAGAAGGTCTTAACAACATGACAGCTTCACTTGTTTGTCGGGAGCATCTACACGGGTATCAGTGGCTTTGTTGTCCCACCATTCTGTCTGTGTGGTGATGGATGATAAGCGGCCTACTTTAAACTGAATACATTATCATGGGAAATGGTATAATGTGTTGCATTGTAAACCCAATGTCGATGTGCGATCCGTTCATATCCATTGGCAAGATCTACACGTTAAAAGCTGTCAATAATACAGAAATTGTAACATGGTCTGCAGCTCAACTTTTAGCTGAATTTAAGGAATCTTTGTTGCTTTATTGGATATTCATTTGAAGTATGACTAAGGGTGATTTGTTAAGCCGCATTACAATTGTTTGCAATTAGCCCTTATGTTATTATATCAAAATAACAAATACTATTTTCCTGATATGGTGAGTTATAGGCCTTGGTCTTTTGCCTTTAATTCATGAAACATTATCTGTGAGCTGGAAATAACTGTTATTGTCTTGAGAAAATGATCTTGTTATCTTTGAAAAACTACATTTGTTATTTCAAGATAATGACAATAACAATTAACATACCAAATTGAACAGAAATAGTAATATGTTTAAACCACGGAGGTTTAGGGCTTCCATTGATGACTAGAGACTCAATTAGATCTGATATTCAAGCAATCTGCGCACAAGGGAGTCAATGTACAAACATCTGTTAGGCATGTTATTGGTCTATTTTCTTTTTTCAGGTCCACACAAAAAGCTATAACAGTTTATTTAATCTTGAATAATTCCAGAGTTTCAGAATTGGTCACATTATTTGGTAACATTTTTCAATATGACCGTAGTGTTAGACTTCTGGTGAATATCAGTACACCCCGATAACCTCTAGATGGCAGTAGTGTCATACAGATTGCCAGTGCACTGCAGCGGTCTGCTGACTCAGTGCCCTGTTCTTTAACAAACACTTCATACTGTTATTAAAGTGTCAGTCGTTCCAATGTGAGGAAGTGGTCATTCTTAAAACAATATGCAAATACATTTTTTTTTGTGTGAGCTCAGTACTCTTAAGTGGGTCGGGTGATCTCACTCTGTTACAGGACTCACTTATTGACATATTCTGTCTGTATTAAGTATTCATAATGTGAGACTGTTCCAAGCTTGTATATGCAGTCAGGATTTCTTATGGTTCTTCTTCACACCTTCTCCCAATTTACAATGAAAAAGGTGCATTAGTAAGATTGTAATTGCTGGTAATGCTAAGGCAGGCTTACTAGTGGTGATGCTGTGTAGGCCATAATGTCAGTAATGATGGTCAAGCTCTGGTAAGTGAGGGACCAGTTTGAGGAGTTGTCAGCTGCATTGTGTAACGTGCAAGGCAAAGGTGATTTTCAGTAATTGCCTTTCCATTATCTCTTTCAAGCAGTAATAACTTTGTCCTCATTGTGCCTTTGTCTGACCCCGTTCACCCCCTAATTGGCTTCCTTTACACCTCTTTATTTTTCACCTTCACCCACACTGGCCAACGTGCCTCTTTTCCCTGTGTCTATATATGTCTAAATATATATATAATTTCTTTCTTTCCCCAGTATAACCAGTGAGGCAGGAGCATCAATCTACAGTGTGAGTCCTGAGGCGGTGAAAGAGTTACCGGACATGGACCCCAACCTGAGGAGTGCAGGTATTTGTTTTAATCTGATGGTGATTAAACATCTCCTGAACAAGTGTGATATTCTTGGCCCTGCTTTCAATGAGCCCTTGTTTATTGGAAAATGATTGCTCTCGGGGAAGACACTTTGTGTTGGGCCCGCAATTTCGATTCATTTTAATTATTGATTAAATTGCCACTTAGTTTCTTGATTAATTATAGTTTTTCTCGTGTACTGCAATAGTTATACCAAAATGTTTAGTGCTTAATGTGAGCTGCCTTAAATACATTTGGAATTTCCCATCAGAAAGTTGTTATTTCCACCCTTTTCCAGCAACATTGTTTCATTATAATCACATTTCTGGCACTGCTTTAGGGTCTTTTTTGTCCTCTCTTTGCCTCTCTCATTGCCACTTCTCCTTACTCATTCCCTATACTACATAATTGAAAACATAGCAGCATAAAAATTAGTTTTGGGGAACAAATGTTTCCAGCAGACTTCCTCTATAAAAGCCATAAATCAACCACGGCTGGATTATCCCTCGCTAGTTTCCTGTGGTCAGCAGCACTGAGAGCCATATTTATACCCCTAATGAAAGCCATGAGACATCTACAGCATTGGACTGTGGATGTGTGTGAAAAGAGTGTTTCTGAGCAGGGACACGGCTTCAGCGTCACATGTGGCGACAGAGTGTTTGTGCCTGACTGGTTTTCCTTTGGATGGTATGTGTGATTTCACATTTGTCTGTATGAGTGGTCACATGTCACATCATTTATATGGAATTATGTATTGTACATTTGTCCCATACCATCTGTTCCCGGTTGTTTTGGGACATCTAGGGACATCTAGTGGTGATAGGCAATATTTTAAAGAGCACTGTTTTTGTGTTCGGCTTATTTGTTTTCTCCCCTCCTCTGAAGTCTGAGACAGTGAGAGATTATTTGAGTGACTACAAAGTCAAGTAAATCGAGAATACAGATCACTTTTCCTGGACCACTGTCACTCATTCATTGCCTGTTGCATCCATCTCTTGCACGTCACTTTCTTCCAGTTCTCCTGAGAGCTGCGTCTGAACTGTGACTTTCTCTGTTGTTGCTTTCTTCATTCCTTCCCTTCTAGAATAGTATCTCATAACTTTCTAAGTGCTGGAGAGTTATGCTCAGTCAGAGTCAGAATAGATGGAAAGAGTATTGGAGAGTTTTGGTGGTGCAATGAGCAAGGCCAGGGTTGAAACTCCATCCCTGTCTAAATATTATCTCAGGCAGCGGGCTCATACCGCAGCCAGAGGAGAGAGAGGAGAGGAGAGCCATTGATTCCAGACATACTCCCTCTTTTACATCCCATCCCTCTCTTTGTCCCTCCGTTCCTCTTCAAAGATCATTGCTGACCGCTTGTACTTCAAACAAACACATAATGCACAAACAGTGGCAAGCCGCTGCACAGGAAGGATGCAAACTGCTTCCTGTTTTTATCCATCGCGCAGTGTTTTGGCTTTTGATTGGGAAAGCATTTAGCAGAATCTTTGATGGAACGACAAAGAAACGCCCACAGATGGCACTTCCTTTGTCTTACACTGGGACATGAATGTGAACAGTGATTCGGTTGTGTCATTCTCTCCCTCTCTCTGCGTGTTGAGGCTGATCTCATGTATTATGGTGTGTATGTGTGGAAGGTTGTTTGTAATTTTTCTCCTTGTTACTTGGCCCTGCCAGAATATTCATGGAAAAGACATTTGGCCTCACATGCAGCAGCAGACTGAGGCCTTACAGACTCCATCGTTAAAAGTAACTTTAGTTTAGTTGATACACTGTGTGTGTTTATTTGTGTGCTACATTTGGCTCTGTGTGTTAGTGTGCAAGGTTCATGGGCCCAGCATCTATCAGGAAGCTAAATGACAGGTGCAAAGACTCCATTTGAAAGCCAGCTTTAATTATTATTATGGGGGGAGGTGGAGGAATGACAATTAGGTTTGGCCTGCCCTCAGGCCAGCACTGTAATAGGCACACAATTTGCATATTCAGTAATTATAAATAATATGGATTTGCATATTCAATAACTGTGATTCTGAAAGCATGTTCATGAAAAACACAAACCAATCTCATGAGACACAAAATCACATTTGTTTTTTTCTGTTTGTTTGTGTGTGTGTGTTGACAGTGTCTATTGGAAGACGCGTCCAAGATCCAATGGCTGAGCTCGTGAAGATTGATCCGAAACACATCGGCATCGGAACATACCAGGTGAGTGTTTTATTTGTTTCTGTTGATATGTTCCCTGCTCCTGCGGGCTTCTTGTCCGGTCAGTGGAACATCTGCTGCGAGTTAGACTGAAGCAAAGGGCCGAGTAGACGTGTGTGTGTGCTGACGTTGGTGTAAAAGCACATTACTGTAAACCATGATTATACACACATGTGGTTTGTAATAGCACCGAATGCTATAGGGACTTACAGTAATTGCAGATAAATAACAAAGTGTGTCTTTTTATATTTTTTCTATGAATCCTTATCTGTTTGGCCAGTATTGCCTCTGTCTGCTGACAATGTGCCTATTTGCATTTATGCAGAGTTTAGGTGTGACTCTATTATTTTATTCAAGACAAGGAAGCAATTTTATTCAAAACAAGGAAGCAATATTTTTGACTTGAGGCATGAAGGCATTGGAATGAGGGTTTGAGAGATGAAAGGTAAGCAGGGAAAAACATCAACTTGGCTGAGGCCTGTGTCAACACATGATGCCGAGTGTGACCGCTAATTCAATTAAAGGAGATCAGGCATGACGTGAGTTTGGACATTTGTTTTTTCTGGTGCGCCTGCTGTTCCTTGCCCTTATGTGCTCAAGTGTGTGTGCAGATGCAACAACAGTTACTTTATTACAAGTGTGTTTGTAATTGTGTGAGACAGGGAAGACAAGCATTAGGTCACTGTGCATACTTTTTTACACCTGCTATTAATGCAGTATTGTTCTCCAAATATGGTAAGTTGTGAGGGGCAAAATGTGAGGATGGACATGTACAAAACTAAACGGATTGAGAAAGACAAAGGCAAGAATAAGGTATAATTGGCAGCCCATAGTGAGTACATTATCTTTTAAGAAAAGGGCAGAAGCCTCATTATGAGATCAGAGGAGAGAGTTTCTTGAATAGTCTTTTCACGGCTCTATAAAACTGATTGTAGGGCTACGAAAAAATATAAATTTCATGAATGATGAATCTGTTATTTTTTGTAAACTAATTTAGTTGCTTAATGATGATTAATGATTTTTTTGTTGAAGATTGGTTAATTGTTGCTAAATGATTTTTCTTGTATGAACAATTAATTACATTTAAATGTTAATTAAACAATTATTGACTCATTTAGTCGGCCCTATGGAAGTGTGCAGTCTTTCTGTTGAAAAAAGGGAACTCAGGATTACTTTAATGATGCTTCTGTATTTATACTTTCCTCACTGTCAACATGTGGCTGATAAACTGTACTTATTTGTAGCATTGATTTCACTTTAATGGAAGAATCCAAGAGAAGAAGAGTAAGAAAGAGGGTCAAAGGACAGCAGAGGGTGACAAAAGTCCAAAGAAAAGGAGTGATGGGGAAGTTGAAGGGGGGGGGGGGGGAAATGGATATTTGAAAGAGAAAGGAAGAGGTCATATTGTGCTTGTGCTGATGCATGCTTGGCTGAGTGTGTCGGGTCACGGGCCCGTGTCTCTCATCACGTCCTGACTCGGGCTCTCTGGGGTTCCCCGGGTTCTGCACCTCCCGCTCTCAGATCATGTGACTAGGTCAACAAATGATAATATAACCGGGTAAATAAACTCTGGGTGCTGACAGATATGAGATGGGACATCACTTTGACCTGCGTGTCGGCTCGCACAAACACACACGTACACACTATCCTTCCCATCCTTTTTTCCGAGTTTAAGGGCTAAGTGTGTGCGCGCATGTGTGTGTAGATTCATATCAGTGTATTGTGGATGTATATGTGGGAGAATGAGTGTGAGAGAAAGTGCACTCATGCATATGTGAGGATTTCTTGCTAGTTCTTTTGTGCGATTCTTGGTATTTTGAGCTTTCTGAGAGTTTATTGTCATTAGACCCAGGAAGCATAAGGGCAGATGTAACTCTAGACAGCTGGCACAGCATGCTCTCTCTCTCTCCCTCCCTCTGCTGACCCACTGACTGACAGCTCTGAGAGAAAGGAGGAAATGAGCTGAGGGCTAAAAAAGTGAGGCCCATTAAAATCAGATTGGACGTAACTATTGGTGTGGGAACATTGTTTTCACTACAGCACCTCTGGCTGGATACTGAGTTTGCCAGATACACGTCTGGTTGAATGCCAGTGTTTTTGTAGTATTTGTGGTTAGCTTCAGTACAATTCATTTAAACTTCTTCTAATGTATTTGCGCTTCATTGTTATACACTTTCATGGACAAGCATTTCAGGAGTCGTGTGTCCTTTCAGAAATAAAAGTGTGGGCGTGGCCTTTGCACAGATCTCCATATGTCAATCAGCTCTTTATGTTGCCATGGTCTGTTGACAGCTGGGTAATCCCCAGCGCTGTGGAAACTAACTGCTACTGGAAAATACACACACAGACACACACTGCTGTGTAAGAAAACATTGCCCGCAAGCCGGATATTAAAGAAACTGTCACTCTTCCCCCTCACCTCTTTCAACCGTTCTCCTTCTCTCACAGATAGAGTTTTCCCACTCCTGCCCGATGTCCTCCCTTCCTCAGACTCGCTGTCGTGATATCTTTTCTTCTTTTTCTCTTATGTGGTACACCATGTACAGTATAGTGGACATACACTGTAAGCGCTGTACAGGAGCATCAGATCACTCAATGTTTAAACCAGAGCAAACCACTTTGCCTTTTAAAATCCCTTGACTGAATATGAGTCTTTCCACCTAGAACTAGTGAACATGATGTAACTTCACTATTACATTAAGGTGTGCAGCAGTGCAAGTATGTGTGTGCGCTTGAGTATGTTGTCTTTTATCACTCTCCTTCTTGAATGGCCGTGCCTTCAGGGGAGACAGGAGCAGACAGGGCTGCGAGACAGAAGAAGAGACAGTATATGGAGAGTTGACAGTGATTGAAAGTTTCTGCCTCCGTGTTTCGAGGCATGGGAAAAAACTAAACTGGCTCCTAAAGATTTGATCAGTGGCAGAACAAAATATCTAATACTATTTAAACTATGGTCTGTCCCAGCATGCATCTGTTTGTTTGGTTGTGAGATGAGTCAAGCTTGTTTTTTAAAGATATGATAGACATTTATTGTAAGCAGGAAAAATAAAAGAAAAAAGTAATGTGTGTGATTAAAAATAATGAGCTGAAAGTAGCTGACCCCGGCTTCAACTACTGGGAACGTTTCTCCGTTACCTGTCTTTAAACGTCTCTTGTTTCTATTTTCTCATGCCTTGTTTTGCAGTCCCTCGGGTAATGTGTGATTGTTTTGCAGGAAGTTGAGAAATAGCCATTAGGCATTCATGAAAGGTGTTGGAAAAACATAAAACCATCTCCTTGCTGTCATATCACTTTCAGCGGCTGATTTACGACCTGTATTTAGCTCTGCACATATTCACACATGCACACACAGACAAGCCTACGCTGGGAATAGTATGCAGTTTGTTACAGAGGGAGTTCCTAGAGGCCTTTTAGAGAAGCTGTCAGTCAAGAAGCGCATGACCTTCAGATAACCTCTGGCACCTTGTTAGTTTACGCATAGTCAATTGATTATGGAAGAGTGATAGATGTGAAGTAGCAGTTTTAAAGAATTGTCATATCCACACACATTTGGTGAAAGTACCAAACACTGGAGTCTATTTGTAACTTCTGGAAGTCCAACAAATGTAGGATGTTTCCAAAAACAAGCACTCTTGTGTTTCTCAAGGCGATTGAAGCTTTTAGTCTTTCCTCTTTCATTAAAGCTGCTACATCTACGGCAAATATATGAAGCTACTTGCGGACAATTCCCTCTGGGGTCTTGCTTCTTTCTTTTTGCTCGCCTCGATCATCTTCATTTCATTCATTTGTGTGACTCTTTACCATTATCACAGGATATCAAGAACAAACAAAACATATAATTTAAACGCTGGACTAATACACAACATATGCAACTTAAACAAAGAAAGGACATTCTTCAAAAAAGCACCCTGTTTACAAATAACTTTTAGCGTATATGATTGTAGTACAGGGTGTCCGCGGGGTCTTAAAAAGTATTAAAAGTTGATAAATCAATTTAGCGAAAATGAAGGCTATTAAGGTTCAAGGTTCAAGGTTCTTTATTGTCAAACTGACATAGCTACAGAGTAATTATGTTGTTGAAAATCTTATGTCACAGGATTAAAAAGTATTAAACGGCATTTTCCAAGGTATTACATTTTGTAGCTTGTTTTCAATAAGTATATCAATGGTCCAAAGAGGTTGTATTCTACAGTCTGCCTGAATGTAATCATTGCGTAGGTGTGTAGTGTGATTCTGTGTAGTTTATTTATGGCATCCCGTTGGATTGGACGTCATCTGAACAGGACATCGCACGCTCACTGCTTGATAGCGCGCGAAGGCCCGTTTACGCCGGTTGTTAAACAACATCGTTATGGGGAAATGCAAGTCTGCGTCCAAATGGTTGGAAGATAAGGAGGGAGGACAATCCATACTGTATATAGTAAATGTGAGGTAAAGTGTGTCGCCAATGTAACCGGTTAAAACTCGAAGTGGCGATGAGGTCTTAAAATGTATGGAAAGGGTCTTAAAAAAAAGTCTTAAAATGTATTACATTTGACTTCAGGATTCCTGCATATACCCTGTAGTAACACAATCATTTTATTATAAATGGGTGGTTTAAACGATGCTTAAACAAATATATTTCTCTGTTATTCATTATGCTTTACATTTTAAATCAAACTAAATATCCCGACAGCTGGAAGAGTTCTGACATCGTAACACCTTAACTCTAGGAACTTTAGGTGCTATTACTCTCTGGTTTTCTGGCTCTATATATTTATTACTTTTGTGCTTTTATTATGTGTATGTATCAGATTATGTATCAACGAAAAGGACATCAATGTTTTCAGTTTCTCAGTGAAATAACTTAAGACAAGCCACTTTAGTTTTTCTGCCTTTCTCTCCTGCTGTGTACTTTTCACCACTCTTGTCAATCCCTCTGTGATTGACGTGTGGTTACTCAGCAGCATTTAAGTACACGAGGTGCAGACAGAAGCACTTCATCCTTGTGTGTTGGTTGGCTGGTTTCACTTGGTTTTCATCCAAAGCATACATGACCTTCTCTCAATATGTAGGGATCCGGTCCATTGGCTCTGGATCATTTTGAGGTTTTGGTGTCTGGGCATATTTTATATACACAGCTTAATTAGAAACTACAGCTGAGTGTTTCAGAATAATCATTCTAAGTTTGCATTGTTCATTTGAAAAATAAAGGATGAGAATCATTGGCGATCTAAGTGAGATCAGATCTGCCAGCGTATGCAGTGTTTCTCTCCCTTTGGCAAAACATATTTTAAACATGCATTTTTCAGGATTAGATTAAGTTTAAATTGAAGATTTTTTCAATTAATACTTAAAGGGGACCTATCATGCAAAATGCACTTTTGTACGTCTTTTATACATGAATATGTGTCCCCGGTGTGAACAGGAAAAACCGGCGCTTTTCCAGCTCCTGCTCGGAGCTGGAGCTGGAAAAGCGCCGGTTTTTCCTGTTCACACCGCAGCGGCGGCGCGTCATAGCTCCGGAATGCGGTTCACTTCCAGCTCCAAAAAATTGTCGGTCCAGAGGCAAGAGCTTCGGAGCTATGACGCGGCGTCTCTTACGTCTCTTACGTCGAGGCGTGCAGGAAACCTTACTTTGACCATCCGTTCGCTGTTATTGATCATTGTGGAGATACATGGGCTGTACAGGTTGTCATGTCCGACTATCACAAGTAGAATCATAATGAAAAATACGCCGGTAAAATGTGCCTGTAGAAAACGGCTTAGCAAGTAGTCAGTTTAGCTTCGGTTGCTATGCTAACATCACCCATGTTATACCAGAGAAACTTTCATAACAGCGTTGTGATGCCAAACAGCGTCAATTCAGACTGACACGCATTCACTTAAGGGGAACTGGGGATATGTATCAGCTGCTTGTGTGACAGTCAGACAGTGAATACTTTAGAGCCGTGTGAGCTAACCCGGAGCTAACGGGAGAATAAACTCCCGTGGAAGAGCAGCCGGCCAGCACTGCAGCGGTCGGTAAATGCCGCTGAGCACATTAATAAACAATGAACCACGGCACTCTGGAGAAAAGTATAAGGTTGGAGAAGTCGTTATTTAATTTAATCTGGCTTCGTATGATTAAAAGCAACACGATCATCGACCCGACGCAGTCCCCGGCCCGTTGTTGTTGTGGGAGAAAATCAGCGACGTAAACTGTGACGTCATGACGCAGCAGCGGCAGCTCTGGGCAGTGTGAACAGAGCGGGACCTGAAAAGGGAAACCGGAGCTGAACCAGAAAAGCTCTCGCTAGGAGCTAGAAAGGGAAAAGCGCTGGTGTGAAAGCCGCACAAGTGTCAGAAAACACAACCCTCTCTCTTTTCCTCCATACCCAAATCTCTAAAAACGGGGCTGCAACGGATCTGATACAGATTAGAAATTGTTCTGACGTCAGAAACGGGGAGCTCCGCCTATATGGGCAACTCTCCACCTATCAGGGGAATGTGGGGTTGGGCCACGGCCATTGCCGCTCGAAAGCGCTGGAGACGCTGTAGTACATATGCCAGGCCTGTAAGTGGCGCTGTAGTCTGCCACAAAAGCAGCGAAGAAGACTTCTCACAGAATCAGCCCTTGCAAAAACAGGGCTGGAAAAGAGCATATAGAACGAAATGAGGCATGGCTAAAATGCATGATCTGTTTGGTATTTTGAAAAAAAGACTTCACAGACATGTTTTATATAGGTATGGCCGTACAATATATTATTCAAATATAGCATGATAGGTCCACTTTAATTAAGTTACAGTTTCAATACAGTTTCTCCTATCCCTCATTGAGCACAGCTATGTGCCGTGATGCATATGCACCTCAGTGTGAGTGGTCACATTACTTTAGTTTTCTCTATAAATTGAGTTTTTAGCTTGACAATTCTTCTCTCTGTGTCGTTGTGTGTGTGTGTGTTCATGTTTGTTAAATGTGTATTTCTAGCAGGATGTGTTAGCCGGAGCGCTGAAGGCTGCTCTGGACGGCAATATCGTTTTTCCCATCCCTCATTGAGCACAGCTATGTGATGCTCACTGTTAGCAGTCACAATACTTTAGATTCTCTTGTGCGGCTCCCACCTCTATAAGGTTTCAATGAGAATATGAGATCACATTCACCTGGGTTTTATTGCAGGTTAAAACTCACACTGCCTTCCACACCTCTACTTTTCTCGTGTGAAAACGTTCTTCTCAGGTGTGACATTACAGGTGGTTTCCTCCTCCTCTGACTATCTCTGTCTCCCTATTCTTTCTGTATCATCTCTCCGGAAATCATAAAACTTTCACTGGGGAACTCTTATTGTTCAGAAAGCTATTTTTATTTTCTCATAAATGCCTCTGGCTGTATTTCATTAGCATTTTCACAAAGAATCAGACTGCAGTTCACACAAGGAGTCACCAGGGGTGCTGTGTTCTCTCCAGTACTACCTCTTCTCTGGATGACTTTATGTCTTAACCCTTCTGCTCAATCACATGTTGACCATCCTGCTTATTGCAGACTAGGCTTAAACCAATGTTTTTGTAGTAGGAGTACAGTCATTTATTAAATCTTCAAAGTAAGTTCCTGCCAACAAGACCAATTAAAGTGTCAAATGTTTAATCTTGAACCACACAGTCACGCATTGACAACTAATCCTCTGAGTTCTTCCTTTGGAAAGGCGTAACTTTGAGCTTGTCTATTGCCCACTGTTGATGCAATCCCGTCACCCCAAAATAAATTATATCATTATTATTAAAGGCACGAATAGTTTGGGAGTTTGCATAATCGTGAGATTACTTGAGTAAGAGTAATTTTAATTGATATTTTCTTAACTATGTTTACTGTATGTCTTGACAAATACACAGCCAATCTAATATCCTAAAGTCTTTCACATAATACGAAAATTCCAGTTTTTAAATGATACAGTATGAAGCTCATAATAAAGAATTGTATTGATAGTTTCGGTGACTTAAGTGAAAACTTGTTTAAAGTAGTGACTTTCTTATGAATAGATAAACCAAATTATGGATTCCCATACATATATATTTTTGTTCTGTGTCGCTCTCCTCTTCCGTCCGGCTGTCCTGTTCTCGCTGACAGACGAGTGTATGTTTGCTGGTTGGCGTTGTTATCTGTTTACAAGATGGTGTTTGTTCAGAGCTTGATCATGTTACAGGACAACCCATGCTAATTCACACACAGCACACACAAACACATGCGCAACACACACACACACACACACACACACACACACACACACACACACACACACACACACACACACACACACACACACACACACACACACACACACACACACAGTAGTCCAGTTTAGACTGTCAGCTAATCCTCCAGCAGTTGCTGAGGCATCAGTCTCCGGCTGATCGCTTTCTGGCCTTGTCTCTCAGCGCAGGGCTTCTGTTTGTCCTGGGACGACTGCTCGGCCTCAGAGTTTCTTCAATCTTATTTTGTGCTTCTTATTAAGTTTATTTTTTCCACTTCACTCCACTATCCTTTTGCTTTCTTAGTTTGAATTGTTGGCCCTGCTCCTTATTAGGAAAAAGATTCCAGCCCTTTTGGAAAACACGTCCTTATTAAAGGTTGATTGGATGAGAAGTGTGAAGAGTTCATTTGGAGGATCTTTATCGACAGCAAATTACACTAACGAGAACACTGTGTTAGCAGGAGGGGGAGATTTCTGACAGGCCAAACTAAACATTCCCTCTCTTCCCCCCTCTGCACTCTCTCTCGTCTCTCTGTGTCTCACTTGCTCTACTACTTGTCAATCAAACCTCTTTCTCTCTCAGTTTGTCAGTATTTTATTGCTAACACTTTCCCCCGCTGTTTTTCTCCTTAAGGATGACATTTTAATAATCCCCCTGGGGAAGCTGTGCCCTCCCAGAACTAAATAGTAAAACATTTAATGTAATAGGGAATACATTTACAGAATGGGGATTATTTAAAGAGAACATGATTTTGTAAGTCCGTTCAAAATTATGTTATAATCACACTGAGATTTATAGATGAAAATAAAACGTACAGTGAAACAGCAAAAGGCAATAGTATGGGCTTCAAAATAAAACAGAACACTCGTACTATTTTTTCTGGGATTCCAACCTTATTAAAAATCAAGTTAAATGAACATCAAGATTTTCTAAAGAGCACGCTCATATGTCTTGTATCTGTGCAAAGTGATTGGTGTTTTCTCTATTCATTGAGTTTGTAGCCTGACATTTCTTCTCTCTCTCTCTCTCTCTGTGTGTGTTTTTTATGTGTTTGTTTAATGTGTGTTTCCAGCATGATGTGTCAGCCGGAGCTCTGAAGGTGGCTCTGGACGGCGTGGTGCAGGAGTGTGTGAGCTTCGTCGGGGTGGACATCAACATCTGCTCCGAGACGCTGATGAGGTAGACGACACATGAAGACACATTTGTAACTGTGCACAAGCAAGTGCACGCTCTCCTGTGCACGCACGCACGCACGCACGCACACACACACACACACGGGCGCATACAAATTGTGAAACAGAGATGAAGTAGGGCTTAGACCTCTGACATACTTTCCCTTAGCAGTCACAACATGGCAAAGCCTCATTCACACTTATGCACAGGCGCATGCTTAATGCTTACACACACAGAAACACACACATATAGAGATGGCCTGCCAGGTCTCTGTTTAGACTAATGCTTCACACCCTGGCCTCACTTATTGGGCCTGGAATCGACAGAGGGGATTAGGGAAAGCAGACACACACTATACACACACATCACTCTCACACTAAGAAATATAGATGTATGTATAGTCCTAAATATATTTTGTAGTACACTGTGCACTCAGTAACGTATTTACTACAACATGTACAACAGCACATGATTTTAAATAGAGCAAGTACACAAAGTAGATCCGAACACAAACACTTGATGGTAGATACACAAAGTATAAAATGAGCTGGCATTAGCAGCGGGGCAGGCATCAGGTCATCTGTTTACCTGTCTGCTCTGTAAGTGAGCTTTTTCCATTCCTGCCAGAAGTTATGCTACACACATTAAACACACACAGACGTGTTGATGACTGAGGTATTATGTGGAGTGTTGACATTGCCGTGTGTTTCAGGGCGAGTGAGTCACTGTGGGCATTAACAGAGCTGACCTAGTTGAGTTTCAAATCACCTCTCTTCATTGCCCGGCCAAAACTGGACAAATATACTCACTCAATATTAGCTCATGTGTGTGTCCTGTGAGTGTTTCCCCTGCTTGTTCTAGTGCCACGTCACAGTCTGCACAATCAGCTCTGTTTGTTTGTATAGGCGTATTATAGAAATCAGGGGCCAGATAGATAAATGATACCTATGAAAAAAAAACATGAATACACCACTTCCTAAACATTAACTTCTATTAATGAGAAATAAATGTGCGGTGGGGAAATCTGCGCCAATTTCTGACTCCTATAATTTTTTTTACATGACAAATTAGCGGTAAGGGTGCTAGAAATAGCCACAGCGGTTACATTTATTATTTTGAATCTTTATGCTTCCCCTAGTTTAATTTTTTACTGTACTGCTTCACACATTATCATCCAATTTTGAACCAATATAAACACATAGACCTCCAAAAACTTCCAGTAATATAATAAACAGATGATGTGTTGTGACATTTCCCTTTTTCATGTGTTGTTTTATCTGCTAGGCATGTGGCAGGCCTAAATGCAGGGCGGGCGAAGAGTATTGCAGAATGGAGAGAGCAGAATGGTCCCTTCAACAACAGGGAACAACTCAAACTGGTGAAAGGCATGGGGCCCAAAACCTACCAGCAGTGTACCGGCTTCATCAGAATCAACCCGCAAACCCTACACAGGTACACACTTGTGCTACACACTCAAAAGTATTAATGGTGAAATGTATATAACATGTAAACCATGTAGAGCAGAGACAGGTCGTTCCTCTATGGTGGCGTAAGGAGCAGGAGTAGAGGATTATTTTCAGAAATAGTTTTCATTATAACGTCATTTTAACTGAAATATAGTACTGGATAACATTTAGAAAGTGAATGTGGATTATAGAATTACAAATATATTTTTTTAGTGAGTGATGCAAACTCAATGAATCCTAATAACCTCAGATATATTGGAGTTGAATCACGAATCTCACAAAATAAATATAAACTGCCTACAGCTAATAGATGCCAATAGAGATGATTGATAAAATGTTTTTTATGTCATTTGATGATTTGAAGCCTTTGATGGAAGATGTTTTTTGTTATGATGGCTTTCTCCCTCATAAATTCTCGCTTGTCCAAACAGTGCCAAATCCTCGCCTCACCCTGTACCTGAGAAACCAGCAGCTAAGAAAAGCAAAGCAAAGACTTGCGTCAACATACCGACCTCATTTAACCCCCTGGACCAGACCTGCATTCACCCCGAGTCCTACCACGTGGCAGAGAGGTGCAGTACACACAAACATACAAACACACACACACACTCACACACTTGTACAGCAGCTTACCCCACTGGCCGAAGCATGTTCGAGCTTAGATGGAGTTGATTTTGACACCGTCTCATATGGGGCTGGTTACAGCGGTGGAGGACTCTGATTTGATTTACACAGACATGGGATACAAGAGTGGAGGCGTTGGCTTGTACGCGCGTATGTCAGTGTGACTGTTTCTGTGTCTGTGCTTTAGTGAGAAATGATTGTTAGCACCGCTGATGCTGATATCAAAAGCACATTGAACATCTGCCTAAGGTGTGTGTGTGTGTGTGTGTGTGTGTGTGTGTGTGTGTGTGTGTGTGTGTGTGTGTGTGTGTGTGTGTGTGTGTGTGTGTGTGTGTGTGTGTGTGTGTGTGTGTGTGTGTGTGTGTGTGTGTGTGTGTGTGTGTGTGTGTGTGTGTGGTGTGTGTGTGTGTGTGTGTGTGTGTGTGTGTGTGTGTGTGTGGTGTGTGTGTGTGTGTGTGTGTGTGTGTGTGTGTGTGTGTGTGTGTGTGTGTGTGTGTGTGTGTGTGTGTGTGTGTGTGTGTGTGTGTGTGTGTGTGTGTGTGTGTGTGTGTGTGTGTGTGTGTGTGTGTGTGTGTGTGTGTGTGTGTGCAGCTGTAGTCACTCAACTGTGTTTAGTCTACACAAGTTCTGACACTAGTGGCTCTAAGCATCGCTCGCCTCATGTTGATGTGCCTTTAATGGCCTGTGTGTGTATTTACATTTTACCTTCTATTTAATATATAACAATTATTTTTAGGCTGTAAAATGTTGTTGATTTTCAATTACTTTTGTGCCCTTCTTTAATTTGGAGGAATGCTGTGTGTGTGTTTGTATTTCAATGCGTGAGGGCGCGTGTGTGATTGACTTTATGGTGTATAAGGAATATCATGTTCATCACATTACTGAAACTGGATCCTCCATTACTGCTCACAGCCCACACATCACCCACTTTTTGTAACCATATACAACTTAAACACATTCTCACACACACACACATACACACACACACACACACACACACACACACACACACCGACTCTTCGTTTATTCAGACATAGTTGGTAATGTTTGCCTAAAAACAAATATTGCTATGTAACATTTCTCTAAAGAGTGTTAATGTTCAGCTGCAGAGGATCAGCTCGTTCAGAATATCATCAAAATATAAGTGAAGCATATTATTGTGGGGCAGTTGGTTCCATTTCATGAAACGTATTGTATTACTCCGATTTGAGATAGAGGGGGTCCACTATATGATGAATACTTATCTGATATTTAACAGTCGGGGCCCAATATTTCTATAATACAAGACAGAGTGGGTTCTTGCTGTGTGCCTGGATAAAATCTATAGAAGAGCCCACCCAACCACAAATTCACACACACACACACACACACACACACACACACACACATACATTACACACACACACACACATACATTACACACTCACAGTGTTGGTAGTAATTATATAGCGTGAACCCAACAGTGGTGGAGGCCTCTGGACTTCTGGTACCCCTTAAATACTAACATACACCCTTGGAAAAATGAGACGGACACACACACATTTGAAGGTGCACTCAAACACACATACACACACCTGAAACCCACCAAACCGATGTAAGATCCAGAGCCAGAATACAGGCTGCTCTTAGTCTAACACTGCTTTCCCTTTCTTCCCTCCCTATTTCATTCCATCATGAATCTTTTTTTGTCACTCATTAAGCGATGCTCCTATATGTTAGACTGAACTCTGTAGCCCATTGAACCTGTGTGTTGATATGTTTAAAAGTCTGTAGTTTGATTGTTTGAGGTTCTACTATCAGTAATCATCCATTGAGAAAACGTTCAGTATTTTTAACGTGAGTCCTACTGTAGTTGTGTCAACAGCTTTCCAAATATCTAGTAAGAAGATAGTTTTCTCTATGGAGGAAAAAAAGTCAACCTCATATTCCTTAAAGATTATTTGTAGATAAACTATGAAAAAGTTAAAAAAAAGACAGGAACTATTGTCTGTAAGAGAGAGGAAGAGTGATGATAGGCTGGATTTAAACCATGGGGGCGATGTGGTATTCATCTCAGACCGCTAGGCCACCAAGACACAAGTATTTATTTTCCTGTAAAGAGATATACGCATGGAAAGTTAAGAAGCTTAGGGAGACGCATGAGACCAGATCCTAGTGTTAGACAGTTTGGTCCAAAGGTGCCGTTTCCTCACCACTAAGCCATTTCTGGCACATACTGTGCTACTATTTTGTACCAATGTGGATTTCTGGTGTTGAGGGATTGATTCCGCGTGTCTCCCTTCTTTGGACGCTAGACGTTGGGCCTCTCCACTCACAGCTGTCCCTTACATAGTTTGTACACAAGCTGTGTCCCGTTACATCCGCACTGTCCCTGATACTGCCAAACCAGCATTTCTGAACAACATTGTGTATGAATCAACTTGTGTGTGTGTGTCTGTGGGTTGTAATATGTGTGTGTCCACCTGTTCTGTCCATCATGGGGGGGGGACAGCTGCGGAGTCTGTTAGGCGTCAGGCTGCCAGTGAGCGACATCCATCACGGATGCTACCCAGCTGGTTCCACACATGCACAGAGGCGAATGCATTCACATCTATCAGCAGTCGTAGAAAGTGCCTACTGTAAATAATATATACAGTACACACAACTCTCACACAGACACACACATCATGCATTTTTCCATAATCCCTATTTTCATACTCTGGCTCTCATACAAGTTTATTACTAAGTCTGTTTAATATAAATGATAGCTAATTGGTTTGGATTTAAATCTAAGGCTCAGTGCGTTTTTAAATGGCGCAACCTGACTGACTGTCTAGACATTTTGGAGGTGGGATATACTGCTCAAAAAACGTGATAGAGGGACTTTTTTCCAGGCGGTGTACAGATGGACTAACAGTCGTACCTTAGCAAAGTGGAGGCAGTTTCATGAGACAAGGTGACAGGGCGTTTACAGCCCACTGTGGATTTCCCTGATTTAATAGGGGGTAAAATAAATGTGTATTTGTGTGTGCTTTGAGAACAGAAAGCTCCGCCTCAGCAGCTCATGACTGTGTGTGTAATTACTCCAACACCTCTCCCTCCCTCCCTCTTATTCCCCCTCAGCGCCCTCTCACTTTACCTGCATCAGCTTAGCTCGTTGCTCCCTACTTCCTACGTCTTGGCTTTTCTCATCTTTTGTTTCTCTTCTTTTTGACAGTTATACTTTTCTTCCCTCAACGATTCTTCCCAGCCTGTCGTCACTTTCCCCCCTACTCACATCCCTTCCTCTTTCCCGCTCTGTTACTCCATCCCTCACAAGCTCAGGTCTCTGCTTCAGTTTGAGAGGGAGGTGGTGCATAAACCCAACTAGCACCACTCGCTTAATAAAACTTAAAGGGGACCTATCATGCAAAATGCACTTTTGTACGTCTTTTATACATGAATATATGTCCCCGGTGTTCCAGGGAACTCACCAAGTGTCAGAAAACACAACCCTCTCTATTTTCCTCCATACCCAAATCTCTAAAAAAGGGGCTGCAACGGATCTGATAAAAACTGATCCAGATTTGAACACTGTCCTGACGTCAGGACGGTGGCGCTACGGCTATTGGGCCAACTCTCCACCTATCAGGAGGAGACAGACACGGCCATTGCCGTTCGAAAGCGCTGGAGACGCTGTAGTACATATGCCAGGCCTGTAGATGGTGCTGTTCTCACTGAATCAGCCCTTGCAAATCCAGAGCTAAAAAATGTCAAATTGAGCAAAATGAGGCATGGCTAAAATGCATGATCTGTTTGGTATTTTGAAAAAAAAAAAGTATAAATATGCCTTATATAGGTATGGTCCTACACTATATTATTCAAATATAGCATGATAGGTCCACTTTAATTATGAACACTGCCTCTTGCTGGACACTTAATGAACCTGTGTGTTTTGTAGTTTGAAAAGTTTAAGTTTCACTCTCTGCACCATCTTTTAACATGTTTTATTGACTTTACTTCTATCCAGGTTTCTGTCCCTCGTGGGTGGGAGTGCAGACCAGATCGGGAGTGCAGGCCTGCGACAGTGTGTGGAGCGCAAGGTACAGACCAGCAGTGTGGAGGAACTGGCCAAGACCGTGGACAGCACACCTGAGACCCTCAAACTCATCATCGATGGCCTCACGCAGGCCCCCGGGTTCGACATAAGACAAAGTAAGACTCCTGCCATTCACCGTCACACTAAAATCAGACTAGATAAGAAAGTCAATATGCAAACATATCTAAGAAAATGTAATACAGCATATTCATCCGTAAATTACCCACATTTACACAGATTCAAAAATGGTCTTTCAGATTGTGGGAGAAATAGAACCAAGTTTACATTAGTTTATGTTCACTACATACTACAATTATCGATTTATGGCTAACCAAATCGAGCAAAACCACAGTTAAACCCTTTTCTTCTCAGTATTCAAGTCAAACATTTGGTATTATGAAAAAAATATTGTCACCCATCAGTAAATGTATATAACTGCAACACAGCAGTCACACTAGCGTCTCTCATTGTTCCTTCATAATATCCTTTATTGGTCCCTACTGACTGGTAGAAAGGTATTTCTTTGCTAGTTACAACTCACTGTGACTTTTCTTGTGCCATTATTATAATAGGCATGTCTTGGTATTGTAACCGGATAGAGTCTGGCTTCCTCTCTGTAGCCCAACAGCACCAGTATGTTTCTGACAGGGTGTGATGGGTCCAGCAGACTGCTGTAGGACACATTATTTTTACATACACATACACACACACATTCAAGAAAACGTCTGTTTTTCTCATACTCTTGAGTTCAGGCACGCATAAACATGACAATACAACCATAGACAATCATTTAGATTTTTAGCCCAATTTAGATTTCCCGAGAATAATTTGACTTTCTTTGTTCTTTTGGGACCGTTGGACAAATAATGAGTCCCTGTGAACTTTATGGGTCAATGATATAGTTGACTAAAATGCTCAGTTTGCCTTTTCATTTACGTTATAAATAAACAAAGGGCTACTTTGTCTGAGGTTATAAAATATTTAACTATGGCTGCCTTTCAAAATGACAAAAAAAAGTTGTTTCCGCGCCTTTTTATGTACAGAGAAAAAATAATCCAGCCTGGGTACCCAGTTAGTGCTGGCTAACTCTTTCTAAAATGAAGGAACGCAGCTTCAAGGTTCATTCTCAGGTTGGCCCTATTCGGTTGCAGCGCACTTCGCTTGGCCTCCGAGCCGGTGCTCAGCTGAGTAAACAGATGGGCCGAGGCTACCGCATGAAATCAGTGCTGTAGGGAGGATAATTGGACCGGACTATTTCCTGGGGCGCAAGCCTTCCTTGTTTGTGTTAATGCCACAGAAAGGAAATAGATCTCTCATGAACAGGCCAAGTGGAAAGTGATGTAGATTGAAGTGCTGAAAAATGTGGAAGTATGCAGACACAAGTATTGGGTTGCTGCTCGAAATGAAATATCTGTTTGTCATTTCTGCCTCGCTTTCCTGCCCCGCCCCCTCACTTTCCTGCCCCGCCCCCTCACTTTCCTGCCCCGCCCCCTCACTTTCCTGCATCCCTTTTCCCGCATCCCCTCCCAAGCATTAGTGCTATCTGCCAGCTTTACCTGATTTTGTCATAGATCCATCTTCTTCACTTCCAGTTAGCCCTCACACTTTTTTGACGATGTCTTTTTGATCTCTTTTTGCCATCCCCAGGTTTTGGGCAGGCGGACTTTAAGAGGGGCATTGTATCGATGAGTGATCTGCGGGTGGGTGCAGTTCTGACGGGCCGGGTGGAGAACGCCTCTCTGTTCGGGGCTTTTGTAGATATCGGGGTTGGCCGCTCGGGTCTTATCCACAAAAGCAAAATCACACTGGACAAACTGCCTGCCAGTGAGCGCCGCCGCAGCCTGGCTCTTGGACCTGGGCAGCGGGTGGAGGTCCGGGTCCTCAATGTGGACCCTCAGAGGGGACGGATCGGGCTGGACCTGATCAGGGTCCTGCAATAGATTCACTTATTTCCCATATTTCATGCCTGTCATAAAAGTTACACACAAAGCTGCTGAAAAGGCAATGACTTCATGATATTTACATGTTCTTATAAGCAGGTTCAAACTATTTAAGTTTATTTATATGAATGGCTTATAAATAAACGGCTCTACTTTGCACACATTCCTCTAATGACTGTTTATTTGTCAGGGCCTGCAATTTCAAAATGCAATTTCAGCATTTTTCCTGCAAATATGAGCAAAATAAAACTTCCTCACAGTTATGCTAAAGGTGGGAAGACTTCATTTCCCAAGACTTCATTTCCCAAGACTTCATTTCCCACCTTTCCCCAATCTACCTGAGTTTTTCTCAGGTAGATTTAGTTCTCTGCCTGTTTATAATCCCTGTGTATTTTTGGATTGAACGCCAAACCTAAGTGCGTAATTCAGGGCAAAATAATGTTATCTTTATATTGGATAGTTAACTTCCCATCTAGCAATCTGCACAAACAACTTTCTCCTTGAGAAGATTTTGAGAAGGTGAGACAGTTTATTGCTTATTAGCAGAAGATTGATTCATAATAATAATTTAAAATGACTCTTTCTGTATTCCCACTCTTGTTCTGCTTTGAAGTGATCTGAACAGTTTGACAATACACTTGTTTGTTTCTTCTTTTGAAGAAGATTTAGTTTGCTGTGTTTACTGTGTTCGGATATCAATCTGTGACTGGCTTATCATTTATCAATTAAAAAATATTTTCTGCATACCTCTTGATTTATATTTTCTGAAAATGATGAATTCTGCAAAGTATGTACTCAGAAGTGTTTTCTCATCCCATTGGAGTTTGGAGAGGAGACTAGAAGCAAAAGATCCGGCATATTTACACTTGAAGCATTATTTGTCTTAAAGGTGGGGTAGGTAAGTTTGAGAAACCGGCTTGAGATACACTTTTTGTTATATTCCATGGAATGCTCTTAACATCCCGATAGCAATGAATATCTGAAGTGCTTTGACAAAAAATCCATGAAAAAATGTCATCTGTGGAAGCCGTAATACTGTAAAAAGCACGACCAATCATTTTAGCCGGCCCGGCTAAAATAACTGGATGGCCTACCTGCCTGTCAGCCTTCCATCTGTGCACAAACTTATCTCGTGCCCTCATTGGTCATGTGTTGGAGGAGGGGCTCTATAAGGAAGTGGAAGATTCTTTCCGGCTGTGTATTTTCAAATTCTAGCGCACTCGAGCTGGTTTCTCCAAAATGACCTACCCCACCTTTAAGTGTTCATTAATGTGCATTGTGCCTATTCAAATAAACGATTAAATGAAAATGAGAGGCATGGGTGAGAATTGAAAAAAGGGAGGATAGCATGCATGAAGCAGGGAGAAAACAAAGGTGAGGGTGGAGTAGAGGAGTTGAGTGATGGAAAGAAGAGTAGTTTAAAAACAAGTGTTTCTTCTAGACCAGTGGTTCCCAAACGGTGTGCCGCGGCACACTGGTGTGCCGTGAGGCAAGTACGGGTGTGCCGTGGGATTTTGTGACAACCATACGTTATTATTGCAATATACAACTACACAAAAATAATTATTTTTTAATTTACTATATCAGTACCATGCACTCATTTCATAATACAGAGGCAAACTCTATACCTAAAAACAATTCTTTAAAAAAAAATCCTCACAGAACCCCATATTTCGCTGTTAACGCAGTTGCAGGTGGGAATTATAAGACCGTGACACATCGAAGGCTGAAGGACAACATTAAAACAGAAACACGCAAGAGGGAAAATGGAGCGCTTTCTTGTGCGGAGCAAACCACCAACCACCAGTGCAGAGACTGCCGACAACCCACCACCGAAAGAAAAGAGGAAAAAAACTGTCAGCAGACAGTATCATGAAAGTTACCTGTCTTATGGCTTCAGTTGGACCGGGGATGTCAACAATCCTCAGCCCGAGTGCGTCGTCTGTCGGGAGAAGTTAGCTAATGCGAACATGGTTCCAAGCAAGCTGAAGAGGCACTTGGAAACCAAACATCCCTTCCATGTTCAGAGAAACTTGGCCTACTTCAAAAGAGCGCGGGATCTGAACCAGAGGCAGCAAGACCGTTTGTTGGATTGTGTGAAAGTGTCTGAAAAGGCAATGGAGGCTCGTTACATGCTAGCGGAGCTCATTGCAAAGCAGAAGAAACCTCACACAATAGCGGAGACACTCATCCTCCCCGCTTGCAAAAAAATTGTAGGTGTCATGCTGGGTCCAGATGCCGCAAATGAGCTATCCAAAGTGCCGTCGTCTGATAATACAATCAAAAGAATCGACGACATGTCAGAAGACATTGAGCAACATTTGACAGAGAAACTGCAGGCGAGCGGCAGATTTTCCCTACAAATAGACGAATCTACTGACATAAGTGGGGCTGCCCAACTTCTGGCAAACGTCAGATATGTTGATGCTGACTCAATCAAAGAGACGTTTTTCTTTTGCAAAGAAATGGAAAGCCATACTACGGGAGAAGAAATATTCAGGGTAACTAATAACTATTTAAAAGAGAACAGTCTGACCTGGAATATGTGCGTCAGTCTTTGCACAGATGGTGCGGCAAGCATGACGGGGAGAGTGAAAGGATTTATTGCTAAGGTGAGAGCACAAAACCCACATATCGTGACAAACCACTGCATTTTGCATAGAGAGGCATTAGTTGCCAAAACCATGCCCCCCGGATTCGTCTATTTGTAGGGAAAATCTGCCGCTCGCCTGCAGTTTCTCTGTCAAATGTTGCTCAATGTCTTCTGACATGTCGTCGATTCTTCTTTTGATTGTATTATCAGACGACGGCACTTTGGATAGCTCATTTGCGGCATCTGGACCCAGCATGACACCTACAATTTTTTTGCAAGCGGGGAGGATGAGTGTCTCCGCTATTGTGTGAGGTTTCTTCTGCTTTGCAATGAGCTCTGCAAGCATGTAACTAGCCTCCATTGCCTTTTCAGACACTTTCACACAATCCAACAAACGGTCTTGCTGCCTCTGGTTCAGATCCCGCGCTCTTTTGAAGTAGGCCAAGTTTCTCTGAACATGGAAGGGATGTTTGGTTTCCAAGTGCCTCTTCAGCTTGCTTGGAACCATGTTCGCATTAGCTACAGTAACTTCTCCCGACAGACGACGCACTCGGGCTGAGGATTGTTGACATCCCCGGTCCAACTGAAGCCATAAGACAGGTAACTTTCATGATACTGTCTGCTGACAGTTTTTTTCCTCTTTTCCTTCGGTGGTGGGTTGTCGGCAGTCTCTGCACTGGTGGTTGGTGGTTTGCTCCGCACAAGAAAGCGCTCCATTTTCCCTCTTGCGTGTTTCTCTGTTTTAATGTTGTCCTTCAGCCTTCGATGTGTCACGGTCTTATAATTCCCACCTGCAACTGCGTTAACAGCGAAATATGGGGTTCTGTGAGGATTTTTTTTAAAGAATTGTTTTTAGGTATAGAGTTTGCCTCTGTATTATGAAATGAGTGCATGGTACTGATATAGTAAATTAAAAAATAATTATTTTTGTGTAGTTGTATATTGCAATAATAACGTATGGTTGTCACAAAATCCCACGGCACACCCGGACTTGCCTCACGGCACACCGTTTGGGAACCACTGTTCTAGACCAGGGGTTCCCAACCTTTATTGTGCCAAGGACCGGTTGATACATTAAAAAAAAATCGCGGACCGGTTGTCAATTTTAACTGATTTTAATATTTACTCACCACCAGCAGGTAGCAACAGAGGCTAATTGTATGTAACAGCCTGAACAAATACTAGAACAATATGCATCCAAAACATATTAACAAAGTTTAAAAAAGAACCGGTGTTGTTTTTTGGTTTTTCGGAAAATCAAAAAACCGACGTTATTCAGTTTTTAAACCAAAACGGGAATGTGTGTGTGTGTGTGTGTGTGTGTGTGTGTGTGTGTGTGTGTGTGTGGTGTGTGTGTGTGTGTGTGTGTGTGTGTGTGTGTGTGTGTGTGTTGTGTGTGTGTGTGTGTGTGTGTGTGTGTGTGTGTGTGTGTGTTGTGTGTGTGTGTGTGTGTGTGTGTGTGTGTGTGTGTGTGTGTGTGTGTGTGTGTGTGTGTGTGTGTGTGTGTGTGTGTGTGTGTGTGTGTGTGTGTGTGTGTATACACTAATTTATTTTGGGAACAGCCGCATATATGCCGGTGTCGGACAGACACAAACACACCGAACACACTGAGCTGAGCAGAGCACATACACACACACACATCATGCGCCTTGGTGACTGACAGGACATCTCCTTCATAAAACTAATAAAAGGGGGAGTAATCGGGCAGTTCGATGTGTGTGTGTGGTTAACACGTTGCAGCCTGCAGTCACTCTTAAGCTGTTCTGATGAAGTTAAACACAGCGAAGGCGGTGCGTAAAAAGGCACAGCTCTTTACCGAGTATACGTCCCGCTGCCTCCTGATGCTGCAGCCATGTCATGAAAGAGGGTTTCCTTCTATAAAGCAGCTGCGGGCAGCAGATACCGTGAGAGTCCCGGACATTAATTCATAGATCAAGGCAGACTGGTTTACTCTCCTGTTTTGCCAATCCGGTGCTTAAACAAATAGCTCTACACCCCTGGCCGACATGTCCTTAAAATGAAGTCCGAGTTTGAAATATATCTCAAATAATGTATGCACCACCATTTCCCCACATAAACATAACAGTCTGCAATCAAACGGTTGTCTCCTGTGCGCTCCTCTTCCTACTTGGCGCACCGGTAACATGCTCGTGCGCACAAGAGGCTGAGACATAGGCTGAGCCGCCGAATCCCTCGGAACATCATAAAAGCCATTTTCAACGGTTTTCTGGTGAAAGATTAACTAGCTACTGGATGAAATAATATGACTGGTGGCATAGGTGCGAAAATTAAACACTTTTTGAAAAGAATATGATAAAATATTTTTATATATTTATAATTCTGCAAATATTACGATAAACTCACAGCTATTTCGCGGCCCGGCAGTAACACCTCCGCGGCCCGGTACCGGTCCGCGGACCGGGGGTTGGGAACCCCTGTTCTAGACAACAGAAACATTTGAAAACACAAAATAAGCAGGCTTGGAGGGGGATGGGCAAAGGGGGGTTAGGAGGTGTGTGTGTTTGTGGGGGGGGGGGGGGTTTCTATCTCCCAGACTGCTGTAAAGCCTGAAGGCATTTCAGGCATGGTCCCAGACACAATTATCCCAGGACACACACACACAAACACACACTAATCAGCTGCTTCAAAATTAATCCCAGACTCCCCATCCACATTATCTAATTTGTTTGTTTTTATGAAACTGGAATAAATAAAATAAATGCATAAAATATGGTTCAGAGAAAGCCTGAGGTCCCCTGTGCTAAACCTTATACTGGATTCAGAATACCTAATCACCGTTAGTGCTTCACTATCTCCCCTTTGGGGAACAAATGGAATATATTGTAGACACACAAACACAAAGAGATGTTCGATCAAGGTTAATCACAAGTGGCAGTTTGCTCAGTGATGATCTGAGAAGACTACACACACACACGCAGTCAGATCATTGTCTTGCTTCGTGCATTTAGTTTTCAAAAGGGTTTCTATTTTCTAATCAAAGTGTCTCATTTAGTTTGACTTTAACTCCTTTTGTCATTTTGTTTTGTGTTTCTTTTCATGCAGTATACTGTAGCTCGGCCCGAGTTTTAATGTTTCCAATGTTTTTGTCTTGGGGAACACATGTATTCGTGCAAGTAGACACAGCTTCCCT